TGTGGGACTCGATGGTGGCTCACACATCCAACATGTCCTGTGGGACTCGATGGTGGCTCACACATCCAACATGTCCTGTGGGACTTGTTGGTGGCCCACACATCCAACATGTCCTGTGGGACTTGTTGGTGGCCCACACATCCAACATGTCCTGTGGGACTCGTTGCTCTCCGACCCTGCTGCAGGTCTTCATTAAGGCTTTTGAAGAGGAGTGTGGCTCCTCTTTGTTCCCCTTTCACTCTGAATAAGACCCCCTCAAAACCAAACATCACTCTTCTTTACAACAAGCTCCGTGTCGCCACCGGGCTGTACCCCCCCCCCCCCCCCCGGCCTTATTGTGCAGCTGAGGGCGAGCGGCGCTGCAGTCAGGCCTCTTTTATTTCCCCTCTCAGGTCAAAGGCACAGAGGATCAGTGGGGCGTCTCCTGTTTTGACACTCTGTGTATGTTCTTCTAATTGGTGCTAATTGGCACAGGGGGGCTCCTTTGTTCCTCAGTACAACACACTCCTCCACTTGTTGATGGGGAGGGTGGGGGCAAACAAAAGGCAGAGGCAAAACAGGGCGTAGGTTAAAGAGACACGCAGCGATGTCATTGCTGCATCAGAGCAGCTGAAATTCACGTAATCTGAAATAAAATCCAGTGATTTGAAACCGTGTGGTTGTAACTGGTTGGTAACTGTAGGAGTGGGCTGCTTAGTGGTGAGACAGTTTGTTTGGGACTCCTTGGATTCATGAAGCCCTTTGGATGTAGGGCCAAACGTCTCGCAACAAAAAACACACCGCCCACATGACCTGATGAACATTGTTGGATTTGGTTGTGTTGAAAATTCTGTTTGACTCCTTTCGTTTTCAGCTCTAGAATTAAATTTCAATTCCAAAATTCAGTGAATGTGCCGGAGTAATCCAACGCAGGTTGACAGATTGACGTTTCACACGAGTGAAACCTCCTTTACGGCGTATTTTGAGCAGGAGCACCAAGGTCACGTGGCACCAAGGTCACGTGGCACCAAGGTCACGT